CATATATATCCTGTATACAGACACAGACACACAATGCAAATTTAATATACAAAAATTCTGTGCGTCTCCTAGGGGCTAAGCCCCCCTTGTCCTCAAAACCTAGCGACACCCCTGGCATCAACTCTGTTACATACAGAAGGGAAACTTCACCAAAGTGAAACATAAATCTGTGGATCTGTGTTTGATTACTCTGCCTGGCTTTCTCAAGGACCAGGATGTGACACAAAAATCTGAATTATGGAACTGAAAGTGAAAGTAGTCAAACTGAATTTTTAATAAACCAAAACACAGTTTCAAAGCAAATTAACTCAAATTCAAAACTTTTAATTCAGTTTCAATTTAGTGAAATTTATTTTCAAACCAATGCATTCAATTTCACATTATGAATATTCAGATTCAACCTGAACAATTTAAATTCAGTTCCTGCTGGCACAAGATTTATCCCGCAGTAACTTCCTGTTTCCTCTTCGACAGCTGGTGCTGGGGGCGTGGCTGAACATGCTCGGAGCGCTGCTGCGTTTCATCGCCACGCTGGATTTGCCCGACTCTGACCTCGTCTTCCCGCTGGTGATGCTGGGTCAGACTCTCGGCGCCCTCGCTCAGCCGCTCGTCATCTTCGCGCCCACCAAGCTGGCGGCGYTGTGGTTCCCCGACCATCAGCGGGCGACGGCGAACATGTTGGCCTCCATGTGTGGGTGGAGCTTGGACTATTTAACTGCTTAGATTAAAACTAAAAACAGGAAGTAAAAATGTTGTGATTATTTTTTACCAGCCAACCCCGTGGGCGTCCTCCTCGCCAACCTCATCTCGCCTGCAGTCGCCAAAACKTCGACCCAGATCCCCGCCCTGGTGAGTTCAGGTCACCAGAACAAAACCCAACCGTGGCACGTCTTCATCACTCTCCTCTTTTAGATGCAAGCCTACGCCGTCCCGTCGTTCTTCATCTGCTTCATCGCCTCTCTGGGGGTGCTGAGCAGCAGACCCCCAACCCCTCCGTCTGCCAGCGCCGAAACCTCCGGGTCAGAACCGTTCGTTCAGGGAATCAAGCTGGTAAAAACTAACCTGTCACTCATCGCGTTCCCTCGTTACGATCAGCGGTTTAACCTCTGCTTCGCCTGCAGCTCCTGAGGAACAGAGCCTACCTGGTCCTGCTGCTGTGCTTCGGCTCGGGCATCGCCGTCTTCACCTGCTTCACCTCGCTGCTGCAGCAGATCCTGTGTGTGCAGGGATACTCCACCGTGAGTCCACCTGGTCCACTCTGACCCGACCCGTGTGGAGGAGCAGAACCGCTGTCAGATTCAGTAAAATCTGCTTCAGCTTTAACGTTTGTTTGAGAAGCTCCTGTGGCTAAAGAAAAGACGTTTCATGCTAAAGTGCTACGTGATCAACAACAGCTGAAAGACCAAGAAGCTGAAACTGAGTTCAAACAAAAAACAAAATGCTAGCTACAAGCTATAAGGAGCAGAATGCTAGCTACAAGCTATAAGGAGCAGAATGCTAGCTACAAGCTATAAGGAGCAGAATGCTAGCTACAAGCTATAAGGAGCAGAATGCTAGCTACAAGCTATAAGGAGCAGAGTGTTAGATACAAGCTATAAGGAACAGAATGCTAGCTTCAAGCTATAAGGAGCAGAATGCTAGCTGAAAGCTATAAGGAGTAGAATGCTAGCTAAAAGCTATAAGGAGCAGAGTGCTAGCCAAAATCTACCAGGAGCAGAATGCTAGCTACAAGCTATAAGGAGCAGAGTGTTAGCTACAAGCTATAAGGAACAGAATGCTAGCTTCAAGCTATAAGGAGCAGAATGCTAGCTGAAAGCTATAAGGAGTAGAATGCTAGCTAAAACCTATAAGGAGCAGAGTGCTAGCCAAAATCTACAAGGAGCAGAATGCTAGCTAAAAGCNAAGCTATAAGGAGCAGAGTGTTAGCTACAAGCTATAAGGAACAGAATGCTAGCTAAAAGCTATAAGAAGCAGAATACTAGCTAAAAGCAACGAGGAGAAAGCCAGTTAGCTAAAATAGCAAAATGGTTAGCTGAAAGTTGTAAAAAGTTAGCTAACAACTATTTTATTTATTTACCTTTATTTAACTAAATGTGGAAAAAGACAAGCTAAAAGTTAGGATAGCAAAAGACTAGCTAAAAAGGCTAAAACTATCATCAGAAGAGAAAAACAGAGCCAGCAGCTAAAGCAGGTTTTAAAGAGAACAAACTTTCTGAAGGTTCTAAAAAGAGATCTGTGTTTTTCTAAAAGGGAAATATTTGTAAATAAAGTTTAATATTTGTAAAAGTTATAAAAAGTTAAAGTCAGAGAACTCGTCTCATGACTGAGCTAAAGATTTGACGTTTAAAGGAGCACAAAGTCTGCAGAAGTAGCTGGATTACAGAAACAGTGTGATGCTGACTCAGCACTTTACACAACAACTCATTGTTTCCTTTTTTTTCACGCATTAACTCTGACCTCTGCAGGAATTCGCCGGCTTCTGCGGCGCTCTCTTCATCGGCGTTGGCGTTGTCGGCGCCGTGCCGTTCGGCCTCTACGTGGACAAAACCAGGAAGTTCATGGAAGTGGCAAAGATCAACATGAGCGTCACGRCTCTGGCGTGCATCTCCTTCTCGGTGGTGAGGAAACTAAAGCTCGCCGTCAATCCGCCGCTGATGATTGGTTGTAATTCACCTGCCGTTTCTCTCAGGTGTGTCTGATGCCGCAGCAGAAAGTCGCCGTCGCGGTCGTCTGCTGTCTGTTCGGAGGTTTTGGTTTCTCCGTCTACCCGGTGGTCATGGAGCTGTCGGTGGAGTGCTCGTACCCGGTGGGAGAGGCCACGTCGGCCGGACTCGTCTTCGTGTCGGGGTGAGCGAGCGCCGCGGCGCGTGGCGTTACGTTTGTCCTGAAAGCTTCTGAAGCAAACAGCTGTTTGTGTTTCCCTCTCTCAGGCAGGTGCAGTCRTTGGTTTACATCCTGGTACTTCAGGCTTTAACCACTCCGCTCGCCGGCTCTCCTCTGAACACCTGCGGAGACGCCGCCTTCAGCTGGAAAGGTGAGTCTCTGAGGAGGTAAATTCTCCATCAGATTACAGGTTTTTCAGATTATTCAGCTTAAAGTAAGAAACCTTTGTTAAATCAGCTTCTGATCACAGCTTCATAATGGAGTTTTTTTTAATACTTGTTGTTTTTTTACTCTTAAAATGATCAAAAGTCTTTTTTATTTTTATTTTTTTACAAATCATCCAAACTTTGAAACATTATCAACATGTCTAAAAAGATGCTTTTTAATTTTCTTCAGAAATATCCAAACTAAATATAAGAATGTCTGTATGGAGCTAAATTGGAGCCATAAAGTTTTTAAAAGCAAAAAATTAATGATAAACAACTTATTAAAATAAGTCTAAACTACATGTATGGTGTGCTGTTGCATCATACAATTAAGTTATATGGCATGCTGTTGTATCATATAATTTAAGAAGTTTGGCAATCTGTTGTATCGTATAATCCAAATATATGGCAGGTCATTGTATTACACAATTATTGGCATATAACAAGCCATTGTATAATATAATCCAAAGATATGGCAAGCCGTTGTGTCATATTTAAAAAAAAAAAAGTCAGGCGGTTATATCATAAATAACACACATGGCAGGCAGGTCATAGTATTATATAATTAATGCAGTATGGCAGGCTGTTGTATCATATAATYAAATCAGTATGGCAGGCCATTCAATCAAATAATAAAAAAATGTACAATTGTCTTTGTTTCAAATAAATTCTTTTTTAGTTGCAAAATTTTTCTTTTACTACCAAAAATAATTTTTGAAYAAACTTTATGGGCTCAATTTAGCTCCATACATCTGTACATTTTTCTCTATTTTCTCAAAATATTTTTATATTATAGTTATTTGTAATATTTCATCATAAATATGCTGTACAACCATAGACTTAAATAGTCTTAGACCAGAACCTTGTCTCTGACAGAGTCTGGTCCTCAACTTAAATTAAAAAAGGTTAAAAGTTAACGAGCTGCCTTTAGATCAGACCTGTTCTCTGGTCCTCAGTGCCGATGATGGTGATGGCAGGACTGAGCTGCTTCTTCACCTGCGTCTTCGTCATCTTCTTCAACACTCGCTACAGACGCCTGGAGGCCGAGGAGCGAGCCACGTACCAGACCAACGGGACCGGTGGGACCTACGGGTCGAACGGGACCAGCAGCTCCAGTTCCACTGAGAAAACCTGACATCAGTAAGTTAGGGACTCCTCACAGATGAACTGATTTTAGACAAAACTCTTTTATAATAATGCTGTGAAAACTATCTAAAAACTGCACTTATTTTAATATTTATAGTCATCTCAGGTTTTTTAAAACTTTATTGAAACTTTGTTAAAAACAAAAATACTRCACTCACAGGTTTCTGTTACTGAAGGATAATTTTACCTTTGTGTTTTTAACAAAATGTAAGTATTCAGGAAGTAATGGATTTACAGATACAGCAGCTTTAGTCAGCCCGATTCAAGATGGCCGCCACAGACAAAGGTTCGATTATGGCTGTGTCCAAAACGGCAGGACGGGTCCTCCGAAGGCCGAATTTGTCGGCCGCATACGTCACAGCGCCGCGACGAAGGCCGTCC